ACAAATTGGGAGGGAACTTTGGATGATGCTATAAGATTTCAGAAGCTAAACAAAAATCTTTGTGAATGTGTTGTTTCTTTGAGGTAGGCCTTGGGATAGGGGAAAGACTCTTCTCCGCGCTTTGTTTCCAAGACATGAGTGAGAGATCAGAAGTCTCGCTAGACAACAAGAGCCAGCTCTCCTCTCGACAGCTTCTTTGCTACCCTGTCTGACCTTTCTCTGGGCATGGCCTTCTTCTAAAGGGTTAGAGTCCAAAGCCAAGTTGACCATGCCAACGCGGAAGCTCATGCCTGTTGTATGGGAAGGAAAATAATTCTTTCTGGACTTTTCATAGTATTTTAGTTGGGAACAGGACCCCTGTAAAACAAAAACAGACACAGATTAACAAGAGAAAAACAGAAGTGTATAATAAGGCAAGTTACCCTCGTGGCATGCATGCCAAGCCACTGCCTTTGCTGCACTGTCTGTAAACATGACAGTCTCGGGGCTATATTAAGATTTTATGAGTCTGTAAAACAGATTAAGAGATTCACATCTGCAAACACAAACATGACTCTTTGTTTACTGTACTTTTTCTTCCCATAACCAGCCTTCCCCATGCCCTTCTTTCTTACTTTCTGTAGACAATAATTTTTAAGCCTGAATTCCAAGCCACCTCTTTGAGATTTATTCATTTTTCTGAGTACCTCCATGCATGCACGAGGGTATACTTGTTATTAAACTTCTGTTTTTCTCTTGTTAATCTGTCTTTTGTTACAGGGGTCTGTCCCAACTAAAAACTATGAAAAGTAGAAAGAAATTATTTTCCTTCCCTACACAGGCATGAGCTCCGCGTTGGCATGTCAACTTGGCTTTTGGACTCTAACCCTAGGAAAAGGGCATGCCCAGAGAAAGGTCAGACAGGGTAGCAAAGAAGTGTCAGAGGGAGCTAGCTCTTGTTGTCTAGGAGACTTTCTGATCTCACTCATGTCTGGAACAAAGGAGAGAAGAGTCTTCCCCATCCCAAGCCTAGCTCAAAGAAACAAACATTCACAAAGATTTTGTAGCTTCTAATCTTATAGCATCATCCACACTTCTATCTGGTTTTCAAGGTGCACCTTGTAATTAGAGTCTACCACACCAGTCCTACCCTCACTGAACTTCAAAATCCTGCTGCATTCAAGGC